ATGCTGCATGATGTCAGGAGACGCTACGCTGTGACTCGATGCGTCAGACACATGAATTCGCCTCGTCATCAGGATTCAAACCAGCGCTGCAGCTGCTTCTGAACAGCTGGAGCGTTTCAGTGTCTGGATCGGAGCCTCTGATTGGTCAGATCATTTACAATCAGCTGCCCAGTGAGGAAAATCCAGACTACAAATTATTTTTCCACCATTATTTTGGCGCCCCTCTAGCGCGGCGCCCAATGCGTCGCATGTAATATGTACTCAATTTGTGCTGCTGCAACAGGTGAATATTAGGATCATCCATAAACACACCTTCATCAACTCAGCGATCGTCCCCCGCCTGCAGGGGGCAGCATCACTGTCCTTCCAGAAACATGCAGCGATTCCCCAGAGCAGCAGAACAAACCGACGGGAAACGTTTTGATCAATCAGAGCTTGTTAAATCTCTTTTCTTATAAGGCACACACACACACACACACACACACACACACACACACACACACACACACACACACACACACACACACACACACACACACACACACACACACACACCCTCCCCTCCTGGAGAGCATCTCCTCCCTGACATTTTCCTCCCTACATCCGACTGATTTGAATACCAAAGCAGCCGCCCTGATTTGTTTAGGCATGTGAGGAGTCACGTCTGCGCCCCGGGCCGCCGGCGCCGCTGCGCATGCGTGGCACTGATCGCTATCTGGGCTCTTTGATGCACACATGCATGCATGCATTCAGTATCTGTGATTGGTTCCACTCCGAGGCGAGTTAAATCATCTCCCAGCGATCAGAGGCACAGCAGCTCCACTTCCGGCCTGATGAGGAGAAACGGCACGTAGATCTACAGATCTAGATCTGTCAGCTATAGATCTAAGTCAGGTTCCATCACAGACGCCCAGTGCAGGACCCCCTCCCCATCTTCATCTGCTCTATAAACAGAACATTACTAAGAAATGCTAAACGTGACCTCTGACCCAACACACATAAACACGCATGAAGCATCCAGAGCCGGACCAGATTAAACCTGAGCCTTAAAGAGCATCCGAACGCGCACGTGTGTGTGTGTGTGTGAGGGTGTGTGTGTGTGTGTGTGTGTGTGCGTGTGTGTGTGTGTGAGGGTGTGTGTGTGTGTGTGTGTGTGTGTGAGTGTGTGTGTGTGAGAGTGCTTGTGTGTGTGTGTGTGTGTGTGTGTGTGTGTGAGAGTGCTTGTGCGTGTGTGTGTGTGTGTGTGTGTGTGTGTGTGAGTGCTTGTGTGTATGTGTGTGTGTGTGTGTGTGTGTGTGTGTGTGGTGTGTGTGTGAGAGGGTTGTGTGTGTGTGTGTGTGGGTGTGTGTGTGAGTGTGTGTGTATGTGTGTGTGTGTGTGTGTGTGTGTGTGTGAGTGTGTGTGTGTGTGAGAGTGCTTGTGTGTGTGTGTGTGTGTGAGAGTGCTTGTGTGTGTGTGTGTGTGTGAGAGTGCTTGTGCGTGTGTGTGTGTGTGTGTGTGTGTGTGTGTGTGTGTGTGAGAGTGCTTGTGTGTGTGTGTGTGTGTGTGTGTGTGAGAGTGCTTGTGCGTGTGTGTGTGTGTGTGTGTGTGTGAGTGCTTGTGTGTATGTGTGTGTGTGTGTGTGTGTGTGTGTGTGTGTGTGTGTGAGAGTGCTTGTGTGTGTGTGTGTGTGTGGGTGTGTGTGTGAGTGCTTGTGTGTATGTGTGTGAGTGTGTGTGTGTGTGAGAGTGCTTGTGTGTGTGTGTGTGTGTGTGTGAGAGTGCTTGTGTGTGTGTGTGTGTGTGAGAGTGCTTGTGTGTGTGTGTGTCTTTGCTGCTCTGGGTTCATGTTGGTTCTGATCTGAGCTTCATCTCAGATTCTGACGAGATTCAGAAGGAAAACAGAGAAAGTGGTGATGAATATCAAACAGCTCCTCCGACTTCCTCAGAATACTGACTGGAACCTTCCGACCAGCAAACGTCACATTTCATCCACCTCTCAAATAAACGATGCCGCCGCCTGGCAGCAGGAAGGTTGTGGGTTTGAATCCCAGCCTGATCTTTCTGCGTGGATTGTCTCTGGGAACTCCAGCTTCAGTAGCATCTCTGCTCCTCAGACGTGGCGCGAGTGTGTGTGTGTTTGTTTGTGTGTGTTTGTGTGTGTGTGTTTGTGTGTGTTTGTGTGTGCGTGTGTGTTTGTGTGTGATGGTGTGTGTTTGTGTGTGTGTGTTTCTGTCACACACACTCAATCCGTCTTCTGGCAGCTCAGCTCTGTGTCTGAAACTTGGTGAAGTTTATGTAAATGAGCCACAACACCAGCCAATCACAAACAGCTATTTTACATCCAATCAGATGAAATTTTCATCCTGACTTGAAGATACAGAACCAGCCAATCAGAACCAGCCAACCAGAACCAGCCAATCAAAACCAGCCAATCAGAACGCTGCATTAAACAGGCGGATTCAGAAATAACAAGAAAACTTCATGTCATAAATTCTTCAACGTCGTAAAACAAACATAAATATTTATTTATCATTTTCCATTTCAGCCAATAATTCTTTTATTTAACTTAAATATGACAAGCAATTCAAGTGAAAACAAAGATTGGCTTTATTGCATTTTGTTTTATTTTATTAAATTTTTTGCCTTTTGAAGACTAGTTTTTTTAAAAATCTCTTCCAATAACACAAGTCATATTTTTACAAGTTTAGCTCTTCTCCAACTTTTCACTTCATTTTTCCAAACAAACTATTAGAATCAGTTTGGAAACGCAGATCAGCTGGAGACGGAATAACAGACGCTGGAACCCAAACCGAAACACGCTGCAGCAACGTTCTGCAGCGGGCCGGTTCTGCAGGAGGCCGGTTCTGCAGAGGGGCCGGTTCTGCAGCGGGGCCGGTTCTGCAGCGGGGCCGGTTCTGCAGAGGGGCCGGTTCTGCAGAGGGGCCGGTTCTGCAGGAGGCCGGTTCTGCAGAGGGGCCGGTTCTGCAGAGGGGCCGGTTCTGCAGCGGGGCCGGTTCTGCAGAGGGGCCGGTTCTGCAGAGGGGCCGGTTCTGCAGAGGGGCCGGTTCTGCAGGAGGCCGGTTCTGCAGAGGGGCCGGTTCTGCAGAGGGGCCGGTTCTGCAGGGGGCCGGTTCTGCAGAGGGGCCGGTTCTGCAGAGGGGCCGGTTCTGCAGCGGGGCCGGTTCTGCAGAGGGCCGGTTCTGCAGAGGGGCCGGTTCTGCAGGAGGCCGGTTCTGCAGAGGGGCCGGTTCTGCAGGAGGCCGGTTCTGCAGAGGGGCCGGTTCTGCAGAGGGGCCGGTTCTGCAGAGGGGCCGGTTCTGCAGCGCATCTGACACACAGACCATCTGGACCGACGCGAAACACGGAGAACCAAGTCAGGAAAGATTCCTGCACCGAATGACAGAGAGCGAGCCGGACCGGGACCAGAACAGACCGGGACCGGAACAGACCGGGACCGGAACAGACCGGGCCCCCTGTTGGTTTCAGAAACAGTGAATTTCTGCTGTTTCTTCCTGTTTCTCCACAGGAAGTCGCGTCTTTAACTGTCATCACAGGAGCCTGATGTCTCAGGTCAAAGCCCGGGTCAAAGCCGAGGTCACAGGTCAGAGCGTGAAGCTCAGAGACACAAACAGGTGACAAACTGACCCACTGTTTTCATTGCTGATATCTGAGGCCGGTACCGATCCGACACAGAAAGACAGCAGAACCGAGTTTAAACAGACATGAATTCATGTATTTTAGAACAGCTGACTGGATCCAACAGCAGCTTCACCAGTTTGGAGCAAAACAATAAAAAATAAACAAGACAGAAACTGCAACTGATGAAAACAAACATGTGAACATGAGCAGTGAGGCTGAGAGCGAAGAGCTGGACCAGAGTCCTGGACCCACCGGGTCCAAAGAACCAAACACAGGAAGTCAAACAACATCTGAGCTGCAGAGGCGTCAACAAGCGTCCTTGTTTCTGCTCGTCCAATCAGCACCAAGGGAAATCAGAGGTCCTCCTGGATTGGCTGCTGTTAGCCAATAGAATGTCACCGAGAAAATATTCCCGCTTTATAAACTGAATATTTTTGTGAAACGCGTTTTCAATCAGGAGTCATGTTGTAGAGAAAGAAGAACTAATATTTATGATATTATGAGAATCAGTTATTGATATTAGCCCTCTTATTTTTCTAGAAATATTTTTATATAACTAATTTACATTGTTGAGTTTGGGTGCAGGACGCCCTAAATATAATATCCTACCAAAAATTGGCCGTTATGGTTTTTCACACTCAGACACCAAACGACTCAACATGTGCAGAAACGGGGTCCAAACAGATTGTTCACAAACTTTCAAACATTCAGATTCAGACTTTGTTGTGGATTTGAATGTAAAACATTTTGTTTCGGGTCAAATATTTATCATCATCATCAGGCCTGATGTAGATTATGAAGCAAGAAAAGAAACATCATCATCATCATCATCATCATCATCATCATCAGACAAACTAAATTCACTGGCTGCTGCTGGAGCAACAAGCCGAGACAAAAGGAGATTAATAATTATTACTGAGAATATCGGTTGTTTCCTGACCACCGCAGGGAGACGCTCTCCAACATCTCACTGGTTTCCATCAGAGCTGAGGATGAAGAGGAGGATGAGGATGAAGAGGAGGATGAGGATGAAGAGGAGGATGAGGAAGCCCTCAGGTGAGCAACCCTCTGATCCAACCCCCCACTGCAGGGGGCTGGACATCTGGGGGCCACATGCCACCCAGGCGGGGTTCTGGGGGGCCACTGGGGCTTAATGTGCGCCCTGGTTCCAGCCCCCCATCCCGGCTGCTCAGCAAGAGCTCAGAAGTTTAACTCCTCAGAACCAGCAAACCCAGCAGAACTCCGTTCCCCCGGGCGCACATGGCTCAGCGGCCAGGGGCGCACACAGACAGGACGCGGACACACAGACAGAAACCGGAGGAACCGGGAGGAACCGGAAGAACCGGGAGGAACCGGAAGAACCGGAGCAGCAGCGCTTACCGTGCAGAGAAGCCGCGATGCTGCGGGAATCATAGATCCGCTCCAAGAGCCCGCATGTCCGCCGGAGAGCAGAGGAGGAGGAGGAGGAAGAGGCTGCTGCTGCTGAGGAATAATCCGACTGTCAGTGACAATAACCCGGAGAGGAGGGGCAGGGGGGAGGGGGCAAGGGGAAGGAGGGGGGGCGCCACCCCAGCCAATTAGAAACAGGGACAGATTGTTGCAGGAAATCAGAGCTTCAGTGTTCAGCGGGACGAGTCTGAGCTTCAGGCAGGAAGGAGCCATTTTACCAGAAAACCCTCAGAAATATAACATTAAAATGATTAAAACATAACTCAACTCCTCCAGGGTTCTTCCTCTCTGTTAAATAAGCAGAGCTGAGATCACAGGCGCAGCTGGCGCCATCTAGCGGCAGACATCATGAAGCACAACAACATTCAATAACTGCAGTTTTTCTATTTAATCCGCCAAAGATTAAATAGAAAAACTGCAAACACAAACTTCTGAGGGCTTCACTGGGATTTTATGCAGCTGATATACAGGAAGAGATGCAAAATACAAAGAATAATATTAAAATAATAAACAAAGATCAGAAATTCATGCCGGACCTTTTTGTTTAGGTTTCCTTCCTCTACTTCCTGTTGGTCCGTCACATTAAAACAGGGAATTTATTTTTATTTTTAGTTTAATGTACAGAAAAACCTAAAAACATTTGCAAAAACACAAAGAATGCATTTTTCAGTGGAATTTTAATATTCCAAAGATTTAAAATATTATTGGTGAAAATATAATTCAGCTTCTCCATGAAAATATTAAAAGATTAAAATCTGCTAAAACTTATATTTAAAATAATTCGTTGGATCCAGATTACATCAAATCTTTAGCGTCTGTCATGCCGAGCAAGCATGAGGCGACTGTGGAGAGGAACTGTCCGTACTCACAGGAAGAAACCAGAAACAGGCTCAGCATTAGCAAAGCATGATCAATAGCTGGAGAGGAAAAAGTAGCAGAGTGACAAGTGGCCATCTTGTCCTCCAGTGGCAGCAAAACTGCAGAAGAAATGACATGAAGTGACCCAGAAAAGAACTGAAGGTACAGGAAGAGCTCAGGCTCTCTGTGATCTGGGCGTGTTTATTTATTCCGAGCCATCAGTGAAGGCATCACCAGAACACAAAGACCGGGCATCCGAGCCGCGACCAACATGAACAAACATGAGGAGAGCAGAATGTTGGGCTGCGAAGCTCAGCGATCCGCTGGTAACCTGGTTTTATTAGGAGCAGCCTGCTGCTTTGAGGTGTGTGTGTGTGAGTGTGTGTGTGTGTGTGTGTGTGTGTGTGTGTGTGTGTGTGTGTGTGTGTGTGTGCGTGTGTGTGTGTGTTGACAGGTGCTCATCCTGATTTCACTGGGCTGATAAAGGAGATGAATGTGACGTGTCTCCTGGTTCTGCCTGATAGTTTACATGATTATTCCAAGAACATCCATCAGCATGAAGCTCTTTACTGAAAATTCCAGTCCAATCATCCATACGCTCCAGCTGATCCCAGTTAGTGAAGTTCAGTTTATCACTAAAGAAACATAAAAGTTTCCAAGGAAACTGAGCAGAGCAGCATTTCCTCCTGACCAGCAGGGGGGCGACAGCAGGAAACTGCTTGCATTGTGTCTTTGACTTTACAGCAATCCCTCATGTGGAGCACGATGTGGCGACAGTGGAAAGAAAAAAGTTCCCTTTAACAGTAAGAAACCTTCATCAGAACCAGAACCAGAACCAGAACCTGGGTCGGAACAAACGGTAATCTGCCATGAACGACTGGAGGATTAAAGAAAATCTGATCAAACTCATCAGAAGGTTTTTGTTTTCCTCTGATGTTCTGATTTTCCTTTTACAGAAATAATTCAGTTATGATGGTGAAGAACATGCAGAGATCTGATGTGTCTATAAAATCAGAAATCTGGAGATTGAACATTGTCTGTTGTACAAGTTTACTGTAATCTCGACCCAGCAAAAATCTGACTGAAGTAATCTGATCAGCATGAATCCAGAGGTCTGCTCCTCACCTGAGCTGCAGTTTCTAAGCTTCTGCCTGTCAGAGCAGCAGCTCCTCCCCGCTCAGCTCCTTCAGACTAGCCAGCAGCAATTAGCAAACACCTGCTGAGCTCATTATAGAAGCTGCTGCTCAGAGTGGCAGGTAGAACCCTTAAAGGGTTAATCGAAAGAGGAGGAGCTTTTAAAGAGACAGAGGCCCAATTTCAAGACATTAAATCAGGAAGTCAAATTTCTTTTGTTTTATTTGAAATAAAAATAATTTTTGTAACAACTGAAGGTAACATAGTTACTTGGTTGTGCTATAAAATGGCTCTCTGCCTGAAAACCACATGATACTGCACCTTTAAGGATCAAAGAAGCATAAAACACTTTAGAGGAATATCAACATTCAATTATTATGTCAGTAATTTAAGTTCTTAAATGGTAGTAAAATAATCTTGGTGCATGTTTTGCAAACTTATGGGAGATATTAATAGGTTAACTTTGCCCAAAGTCAGAAAAGCAAAACCACTTGGAGTCTATGAATTTACAGCTTCATAAACATTTAATATTCCAATAGGAAACGTCTTAATAGAACGTAGAAAAACAAGGTCAAGATTAAAGACCTGTGATTGGATGAAAACAAATAAATATTAATATCAATATGTACATTTATACCCAGGATGAACAGCAGCCTGGAAGAATCAAAGTTTGTATCCACATGATGATTAAAACCAAATCTTTCTTCTCTTCCTGACCTCCTGACCTTTAGACATGATGTCAGGGCAGGTTTTGATACATTTTGTCCTGATGGGTTTTTAGCTCCTCCTCAAACTCCAGCTGGTTTTTCTCAGCCAATCAGGAATCAATTGGACTGGATCAAACATTTTATACCAATATTTACTTATATGAAACTCCAACCAACAGGCTGGATGTCAGTTAATCTGAGCCAGACGATGACATTAGCTGTTGTTTCCTGGTTGGATTTATGGTTTTATGAATATTGTAAATTCTGTTTGAATTGATGTTGCTGTTTGTGTGTTTTGTAAAACCTGTTGGATGATAGAGATGAAGAAGAGAAGTTGGTTCAGAAATAAACCCACTGACGGGATCAGACAGCCACCAGATGGCGCTCTCTCACCTTTTATAAAAGATCCAGTCTGAGTTTTAGTCTTACTTCTTTTTCTTCAGGTCTGCTTTCAACACTTTGGTCTGGATTAGATTTATATTCCAGTGTGTATCTTGGGTTAGATGATCATTTAGTTTTCTGTTTTTTCTGTGTTAAACGGTAAAAATGGCTTAAAGAAACCATTTATTTGGCGTTTCACAGCCCAGACAGACAGTCGCTGCAGAGCCTGGATGCATGGAATATTTTAAATGTAACTCAATATTTTATATTTTAAAGCCAGAACGCTGACCGTGTTCATCAAACCCAACCAGACTGGGTGGTTCTGGTGAGACCTGGACCAAAACCTCCTCCAAACCTTAAACAGGTTCTCAGCAGGTTCATCCAACCCGGGTCGGGTTGAGAAACCCGAAGGAGAAATGAAGGACGACGTTTGGCTCACATGAATGAACATCATGACTGAGATGAATCAAACCTCTCCAAAATGGCCGCTCTGGATTCACCCCATCCTCCCTGAAATCCAAAACACGTCAAATATCAACTTCTTTCTGACCACCAAGTGCCAGAAATATTCTTGTCTAAATGTGTGAAATAATCTGTCAAAGAAGTTTTAGAAACTGTCTCCCTTTAAGGCTGAGTTCGATCCGCTCTGATCCAACTCCAGTCCGGCTCGTTGAACGTTTAATCAAACTGACCCTGAGTCTGGGTTCAGCTCCAAAAGCAGGAAGTGAACCACATCACAGGGCATTCTGGGTAAATTCAACCAGAGCTAGCATGTTAGCCTGGCGCTAGCAGCAGAAAAGGCTCCTTGTCTTTAGCCAAAATCCTCCAACAGTAAAATCTGACGCCTCCATCTCGTTTCCATCTGGTGAAGAAGGAAGTTGCGCTCAGTTTCTTCTTCGTTGGTTTTTGTGTCATTTCCTTCAGTGGTTCTTGGTGCAGCGCCCCCTGCAGGCTGCAGCTCCTCTTTGGAGGACCTGATCGTTTCAGGACTGGGCTGTGGAATAAATCCCATGTTCCTGCTGACCTGAGTTCATCCTGATGAACTCTTTACTTCCCCTTCAGAGATGTGAGCCTCCCGTCTTCCTCTAATCCTCAGGTCTGGGATCAGCTGAGAGGAAAGAGCCTCGTGACACCTCCACCCCTTTCAAGCTGTTTGCTGAGCAGAAGCATTTTCACACCCTGACCCTGCAGAGCTGCAGGTGTTGGTGAAAACGGTTCTGATCCACAATCCAACTGCACAAGGATTTATGAAATAATCCTTTTGTTCTTCTGTCTGGGGATCAGACGTCTCCTGCCCAGATTCTCTGATCTGCAGTTATTTGGACCAGAAGACTCAACCCGGGCCGGTCCACCAGGACAGATTCTGTGTGTTTGGGATCAGATTTTTACCCAGAATGCCCCTCTTCATTTATTCTTATGAGGTTAGTGGAAAAGCAGGCCCTCAGCATGATGCTGCCGCCTCCAACCAGACGGCACTTTTGCGGTTATGCAGAATTGCGTTGATTATGATCCAGATTATGATCTTCCAGATGTTCTGCACTGAACTTTAAACTTCATCAACATGGATTTCCTTCAGCAGTGGAGTTTTGTGCGGTTCAGATTCCAGATCCTCATGAAACTTTTTGGTTCTTCTGATTTATCCTTTAACTCCAAGTCCAGACTCTGGTTGAGCTCGAAGATTTAATTTGACTTCCAATCAGAAGAAACATGTTTTAAATGAAAACGTCAGCTTTAATCTGGTATGAATAATGTTTTCATTCTGTTTTTGACTGCAGATCGTATCCAGTAATGAGATACGATCTGCAGGTTGGTGGTGCAGGAAAACGTCCAGCTCTGACACAACTGAAGAACAGAAACAACAGAGTGGATCAGATCCCCACAGACATGCAGCACTTTGTTTTAGCAGGCGCTACGTTTTCCTGAAGGATGCTAAATGAAAAATGCTGATGTTCCCTCCAGCCGTC